TAAAGTAAAAATTGTTTAATCAAAAACAAACAGAAAACAAAACAAAACATAAAGAAACAAAAATTCGTAGCTGTAAAATAAACTAAAAAATATTACATAAAAAAACTAAAAAAACAAACAAACGGCACCATCGACATCGACATTGTTGTTTATATCAACACCGGTGTCGAGATCATCACCGGTGTTGTAGATGAACACCGGTGTCAAGATAAACACCGTTGTTGTAGATGAACACCGGTGTTGAGATAAACACCGGTGTCGGTGTTGACACCGGTACACCGACTGAAACACCGGTGGTCATCAACACCTAACACCGGTGTTCAAATCTCAACACCGAACAGGTCTACCCTTGAGCTCTTAAAATCGCGGTTTTACGGTACTATAGGAGTATGTTTCAGTTATTACGAAAAAAAATAAATATATTGATATTTTCTTTTGTCTTGGTTTGACAGATGTTGCTATATTATATTCATTCACTGCAATACAAATTGAGAATAGTGATTTGTTTTAATCATAGGTTTTAACAACGTGAACTTGAAAGTCTAGGTTTCTTCAGAAAAGTAAGTGGTTCCCAGTCTCTACAAATAGAGAATTCTCAGAAACCCATGCTTTTAAACTTATATATAAAATGTTTCTAAGTATGCAGTCTGCCAACTTCTATTTAATTTCATAGGAATATAGAACAAAACAGATTTTTGATATAAATATTTTATAGTTTTTTGTCTTTTTATAGTCGGTTTGTCTAAGGATCAGAATATCACCCTCATAAAAAATAAAATATTGACGCCACTGATATTCAAAATGGGAAAGCTGGAAAATGAACATACTTTATTAAAAGTTCAGATAAAGGAAATTACTTCTAGAAACAATTACATTTTTGAAAAAAGAATCAGCACAAACTGGCAATGAAGGTGTTAGAACATATGCAAAAGTAGTAAAACAGAATTCAGATGTACACCAGCAAATTACTCCAGAGGTATCAAAAGGAGGATCACAGTGGTCGACACCTCCAATTAAAACAACACATGAAACTATTGTAAGAGTGTCAAATGCAATGAATTCCAAAGAAGCTATGGAAAAATTCAAACAAGAAGTAAATCTGAAGGATGTGAGCGGTACTTTTAAAAATACAAGGAAGTCTCAAAGTGGGGCACTAAGAATCCAGAGTCAAAACAGTGAACAGCAGAAAAAAAATATCGTACAAGAAAATGGTAATATCACAACGAAATAAATAAACAATAAAAATCCAATGTTTATGATCACTGGAGTAGACAAGGGGCACTCAAACCAAGAATTCTTACAAAAAATTGTATCATTAAACTATGAAATCGTAACAGAACTAGGATATAGCGTTAGAGATAAGATTAAGGTAGTTACAAAAGACAATGCAGAAACCCTGGCAAAGAAAATTGGATTTTAGAAGCTCGTCCGGAAATATCAAATGGTTTGTGAAAAAAGGAAAGATCAATTGTGATTAGGAACGTTTACGTTCAGGGACACTTAAATATGGCAATATCTTTTAAGTGTAGTGGATTTGGTCATGTACCAAAATATTGTTCTGCAAAAAAATGCTGTCTTAAATGTGGAGAGGAACATGAGGCGAAAAATTGTAAGTGACATTTTTAATTGCCCAAATTGTACAAAAACGCACCAAACTAAACCAAACTACCTGAGAAAAATCATTCAACAACAAATATTAATTGCCCTGTTTATCAAAGGAAATTATTAAGATATAAAAACACCATTAATTACGAACATTCTTTAAACTGAAATCAGAATCAAAACCAATATCAGTTGTGCACGTCAATACAATTTTTTTAGGACAACTCTTACACCTAGCAAGCAAAACAACTCGGCAGGAAGAAAAAAAAACAATGAAAATGGAATCGAAAAAAACAGCCTAATTCATCAAAATGTGCGATCCATTGGAAATTCTGTTGATTTAATTAATAATAAGATATGCTGCATGAACATCAAAGTTGTAAATTCTTGTGTATTAGTGAACATTGAAAAACTGTTGACCAACTATTAAAATTTGTGATTTTAACTTAGCTGCTAAATATTGTCGTAAAGAAGGAGAACATGGTGGTGGGACGATATATGTGCATAAGGAGATAAACTGTAAACTTACGAAAAAACTTACTAATGTATCGGTGAGTAAAGTTTTTGAAAGTGTAGTGCTCTATGGGAAAAAACAGATTATTATTACTTGCGTATATCGTCAGCCCAATTCCAGTCTTGAAAGTATTTTTCAAGAAAATGGATAAACTTCTATCTTCAGTATTTATCAAAAATAGAATAGTTTGAATTGGAGGTGACTTTAATATTGACATGAAAGATGATAATGTTAACAAGTTTGATATGATAGTATTAGTAAGTTTTTTAGGTTTTTCATACCATCTCGGAGTAAACTATAGCCACTCACACCAAAAGTTGTATTGATTTTTGTAAATTTTGAAAATTACTTTGCAGCAGTACTTTTAAACAGTAACATTTCAGATCACTCAGCTTCCATATAGAAGATTTTTTAATGAAACTAATATATATTTCTTTTTACAAAGCCTTCACAGTGAAACATGGGAAAATATATTGTGTATTAGCACGTCTAACGTAAATGAACAGTGGACGGTCTTCCTTAACTGTTTTTTACACTTGTTCTATGAAGCGTTCCCACTTAAATTAGTTAACACAAAATATAAAACCAAACTAAATATACAAAAAGATAAAAACTTGATAGAATGTAAAGACAGATTGGATACATTGCTAGTTCTTAGTAAGAAAGATATTAGATATAGTGACATATCTTAGACCATTCTTAGACAAGAAAAGAGAGGGGACGGGTAACACGCATATTTTCCAGTGATCTGTTTTTGAGATCGAAATTCGATCGGCGGCCATACTTTGGTGACAAGACTTCGAGGTGACACTGAGCGAATTTTTATGTTTTTTGTGACTACTGTTTTGTTTAAAGTTTATAAAATGATAAATTTATAATTAGTTTTGTATGGTAAGATGTTCAGCGTATGACTGCAAAAGCCGAAGCGAGAAAAAAGTGGCTGGAACTACCTTTCACCGGTAAAAATCGATATACAACTTTTGTTATGTCAACACACAGTTTTCACACAGTTACGTGCATCTTCCTTAAATTCGTTAGATAAATAGTTTGTAAATAAATTTGAGAGTTATTAAGTGTTTCTTGTTTTGTTAATTAAGTGTAAAATAAATTGTGTTAAGTAATTAGACTTTTTTTCCACACGGAACAGACTAAAAAACGTAACACTATTTATTTTCTTTTATTTCAAACAAATTACGAAATTTAGATGGAGTGTTCTATGTCTTAAAGTACTTCCTTGTCAAACTATAGCTGGAATTGTCAACAACACGCTTAGTAACAGATATATCTAGGAACCGCAGGGTCAGTTGAATTTTATTCAACTGTTTGGGGAGTGACGCGCCCATGGACCCGAGTTCCCGATGCCGCCTGGGTATTTACCCAGGTGATGGTTTACCATTTGATAGCCAGCAGGGACAGCTATAACTGTAGCTAAATCTTGAAGGAGTAACGTCCTCACGGATCCGATGCCGCCTAGGGTAAAATGGCGGTCCGCAGGGTCAGTTGAATTTTATTCAGCTGGTTGGGGAGTGACGCCCCCACGGATACGAGTTTCCGGTTCCACCTGGATAAATGGTGTTCCGCAGGGGCAGCTAACTGTAGCTAGCTAACTCTAGCTTGAAGGAGTAACGTCCCCACGGACCCGAGTTACCGACGTCGTCGAGGGTAAAATGGTGACAATTACCAACCCGCACCGAGGTAGCGTGGTGAGGTATGACTCACAACCCCTATTATGTAAGTAATAAATTTCAAGTAAATGTCATATACACCGATTTCTCAAAAGTCTTTGATAAATTGGATTATGAAATATTGATCGATAAAAGGTCTAGTTTTGGTTTCTGCTACAAAGTACTGTCTGTATAATGCCCCAGGTGAGACCCTCCACTGCGGCCGCGAGAGCATATTGTGGCTCAGTTCTACAAACTTAATTTTCAAAGAAAGTATTAAAGTTCGCCCTCAAGACCCAACCTTTTAATATAGGCTGTTAAGTCCGAGGGTGATATGTCTCCTAGCTCTAGCATGGTTTTGCTAAACATTCCAACCCGGGTCCTGCTCCCAGCGGTGCAAGGACGCATAACTTCATGGTTTCGTCATCTTCCATACAGAATCGGCATTCTGTATGTTCCACCAGTCCCATTCTCTGCAGGTGTGATCTCAGCCTGCAGGGGCCGTGTATACTGCAGTGAGCCTAGGTACTCCAGTCTGCCGGCTTTTAAGAGCTCTCCTGTTCTGCGTTTGGGTGTCTCTGCCTAGATTGGACTGTCATTCCAGTCCCGAAACGTTATGCCACACCCATTCTTCGTTCCTAACCCATTCACAGAGCTTGTCTTTTGCGAGATTTTTTGGAACATGGAAATCAGCACGTTCGTTTCCCTCTAGGCCGACATGTCCCGTTATCCATATTAGCAACACTTTATTCCTATCTTTTAATAAATTGAGTAGTTTTTACAATGAAGAATCGTCACAGACGTACATTTCGTTGCCTCAAGCGCTTTCAACGCGGTTTGACTATCCGAAACTATGTTTATTGTTTTCTCGGTGTATTGCCGTTCTGCCAGCAAAGGCACACAGGTTTCAATAGCATATACTTCAGCTTAGAATTTATTATATTATTATGTATATATATATATATATATATATATATTATTGTTATATTTTATCTCTGTCTTTAAACTGCTACAATAAATGCTAGTGCCGCGCCGCGCCGCGCGCCGGTTCCTTTTTCGTTTTTGGATCCGCCCGTGTACCTACACAGTGAACTTACTTGTGTTGTCTAAAGTTTAAAGAATTACTGATATTATTAATTTGACAATGAATAATATGGGGTCATTAATCAAGGTATTAAATTCATCATTATCAAAATTTCTTACATTTTTAATTAATTTACCTGGAATCAATATGATCACGCTTGATGTGATTTTGTAAGATCCGATTTGACATAAATTCTTCGTCACACTGCGCACAAACCAACATCTGTTGTTTTTCCGGTGCCAAGTGAATTTTCTTGTGTTGGCGAAGACTTGCCATATGTCGTGTTTGGTGATTACATGAGGTACATCTATAGACCTTTTCCTGCGATTCATTCGACTCCTTCTCCCTAATAAAATAATTTTTAAGTATTACAGTCTTGTAATTGCATAGAAATGAGTTCCCCAGACGTTTGTTACAACTAAAAAATAGACGTTTGGCTACATATGGCAGACCCATAGACCTTTTTCTGAGCTTTCCTGGATCTAATAAAAGAATATTTAAATATTAGTCTTGTAACTTTATAAAACACGGTTCTGTACTACATACTTTCATAGTTACTGCTCTACAAAGAAACCAAAAAAGTGCTGTAAAACGGAGATTTTGGAGTTTCTGATGAACAACAAAAACCACCTAACCTAGAATCTCGTGTTTCTGTGAGATGTAGTATCTCTATTAAAGGAGTTACTAAACGAATCAAGGAGTAAAAACAAACTACTTGAAGATAACGTTGTTCTTCTAAAAGGGAAAACAATAAGTCTGGAAGAAACAGCGCAACGGTTCCCAGAGAGGGAGGTTAAGATAAAACCATTAACAGAACAGGGATATCCAGAGATACCAAATTCCATGGCAGGAGCGACCTTCCAAAAAAATTTACCGCCAAACACGAACAAAGGTACGGTACCCAACGAACAGATAACGATACCAATAAGAATGGATTCCCGAAGTCGAAATTACAATATTTTTACCGAGAAGAACAATCGTAGAGAAGCGACAAAAACCGTCGGCACTATTGAAGTGAGGGAGACCAAGTTTTGTGACCTTCAATTTGAGGTACGTGAGAGATCGCCGGTTTCTAACTACACTGAAAGAAATTCAATGAGGCAAAAGAAATGAAAAAAGATATACACTGTGTTACGGTTATATATTTTAAAGGGGAATTAATTTTCTTATATTTATTTTAATTGATATATCTTGACAAAATGGTGAATGTGGTGATTTATTATTTTGTTTATAACCTTGAAGATGGCACGTTAATAAAATATAACAATACATTTCTTAATGCATATTAATTATTTATTTATTTTCTATTTACATAATATTGTTTGCTTTCAAATTAATATTTGAAAAACTGGATGTTTTTTTAAATCAAATGATAAATAAAACAATTTTAAGAAATTTCTCAGCTGTTATCAGAAGCATTAAAACAAACGACAAAGTAAATATTAGGATTAATTTTTTAATGATATCAAATTAGTTTTTCATATAAGTGAGACTAAAAAAGACGAAATGAAAAATAATGAAAATAATGGGTTTAATCTGAAGATTTTCTAATTTAATTTTTTAATAAGTGTCTCAAAATATGTTAAAAAAAATAAGTTAGGTTACCTAAGTAACCTAATCGGTTAATAAAGTTTGATAATAAAACGCATACTAAGGTTTCGCTAAGGTTTCATAAACTGGTTTTATTATAACAAATGTTTATTAGGGGCGTACTCAATATAACAATATGATAAATCTGAAATTAGTAGTAAAAGTTTCTACATATATGTATATATATATATATATATATATATATATATATATATATATATATATATATATATATATATATATATATATATATATATATATATATATATATATTTTTATATATATATATATATTTTAAATTTAAATGTCAAAATGTACCTTTACCATATTGATCCATCTTCTTTTGTTACTTCCTGGTCAACAGTATTTTGAAATCATCGAACTATACGTTTTTGATATTTAAAGGCAAATAATTAAACTGTACTCAAATTACAATTGTGTATTGTCCAAAAGTTATTTTGCCGATTCCGTTCAATTGTTAATTTTATTTTCAAAACCGGGAAGGAAATAAGGCACAATTATGTAAGTACTCCTTTTGTTTGGTGAACATTATAGTTTTATGAAAAAAATAGTCATTTTTTACATTAAAAACATGTCGATTTTACTAAAATAACAAAGTCAAAACTTAACAAACTAAATTTAAAATGAATTTACATATTTTGCTAAAATTTTTCGATGGATAATTTGTTCTACCATCGGTACCAATCACTTACTTTATTTTATTATTTTAGTTCAAAAACTTTGAAGGAACCTATTCATAAGAAGGGTTTTAATATAAAAGCTCTTTTCATAAGGGACAATTTAATAATTTTGCAAGAGGCAGTTTTTAATTAATCGCGAACAACCTGCATCTATTTTAAGTTTTAATAATATTTAGTGCTGAAAGTTAGTTCTTTAAAGAAAGTAGTGCTGAAAGTTAGTTCTTTAAAGTACGATTATAATAAGTAAGGATAAAAGACAGATTAGTTAATCCAAAAAGATTATTTACGCAAATAAAAAAATAGTAAAAATAGATTTAAAGTCCTGAAATTAACAATGGCAACGCTGCCCGTGTTCCGAAAATCCGTTGGGATGACAGTTGGCCGTTTTACCTCCCACTCCAAATTTTTAGGCGGGATTCGTTTTGTCGCTTCTCTACGGTTGTCCTTCTCTGATTTTTAAGGGCACAAAACTAAAACCAACGAATTAAGTAAGCCTGAAAATAAGAAGAAAAAGATCATAACCACAAAAATATGTAATACTGAGCTTTATGGCCGTTGTGCGTAGCAAATTAGGAACACTAAATAATTAAGTCATTTAATTAACTCGATCAATTGTTACAAACTAAATAACTATTACAAAATCATGAGTATTCTGTTTCTTGGCGGAAAACGTAATATCGAATACGTCCACAGAATAATCATCCTTCCTCCTTGATTGACAGACATCAGCTGGACGGCCATTCAGGGTTGTTACTCTTCTCCCGAGGAGTCAACGAATCTGTGGCAGGCACTAACTACATTCGGAAGTCTGCCACAGTTTTGAATAAAAAGATTAAGGAAAGAGCACATAAAACGTCTTAGATTGAACGCGACGGGGTTCTTAAATGACATCTTAAATTCTAGTTTATCAGTGCCGTTCTAATTTTATTCAAAACGTGTAAAAATATGATGTAGGGGAGCGCCGGGAGGGTTTGGACAATATTTAAATAAATAATTATGACATTGACATAAGTGAGAAGTAACTAAATTTTTGGTGTCAGATCGATTGACTTATACATCTTACATACATATTCCTTTATTTCATTCAAAAAGTATTACAACATCATGAGTGACAGACACATATACGTACATATGTAATATGTCCAAACCCTCCCTCATAACCGGGAGGGTCTGGACGAAAAAATACATAAGCATGGTTAGCGACAGCAGGAAAATTTTGCTATTCGTTTCGACACTGCTGGACGTAACTTACGTTGTTACCCCGTTAGTGTATCGTGACCGACACGCCCAAGAAACCATCTGTTTTTAAGATACGTTTATTTGATGAACAACATTATTTTTAAAGCAAAAACGAGCAAAACTAATATCTACAAAACGATGAAATCAGCATAAACTGTACTCGGTAAGATCGATATTGAAATAAATCATATCTGCATATCGAGCAGATCGGTCTGTCAAAGGATTCGGTAGTTTCAATATCACTTCTTCGTATGACACAAATGCTGGAGGCTCCTCACTAAATCTAAAACGGTTGGAAGCAACTTGCTTTTTCAAAAGTTTTACGTTGTAGCCATCCAGGACAACTTCTTCTATTTTAGCGGCATAATGTCTAACTGATTTTTTTTCCAAATACTTTACTAACTATGAAACTCTGGACTTCAAGTTTTGTAAGGTCCTCATCCTCATCATCATCCTGTTCCAAATCCAGGTCTGAGGACGAATCTTTGTAAATGACTTCTTCCTCATCGGAAGAAGAGTCGCTCATAACTTTTTTCTTTGCTTTCTTTATATTCTTCAGATCAATTTCTGATCTATTTTTCTTTAATTTCTTCTGTGCAATTTCATCGCGTTCTGGAGTATCGGTCGCCACTATGGATTTTCTTTTAGGAGGACCTTTTCTAGATGCTTTTCGTTCTGAAGCTTTTGGATATGGTCTTATTTTGGATGGCGATACAAAATTTTGTTTGTGATGGTCGATTTCAGCTCGAGTTTGGGGCTCCGGTAATGGCTGTGCAGAAGAAGTGGATGGTAATGATGCATCTACATTTTTTTCTAAAACCTTATTTTCTGTTGTAGGTGCTACTCTGTCTGTAACAAACGAGCAAAGGAAATCCTCTTCGCTGAAAATATTTTTATCAAATGGCCAATGTCATCCAGGGCCCGAATTATGTAACTTAGAAAACGCTAAGCGCTTTTAGACGCTCAGCGTATATGACGTTAATTTTCGCTGAGCGCGCACTTAATTAACGATTTCGGTATTCTCGTCTGACGTGCTTAGCATCTTTACTGATTGCGCTGAGCGCTTTGAAAACGGTTGCCTTAAAGGATCGTTTTGCTTGTCGAACTGTCAGTGAAAATCGAAAAAATTGTGATTTTGTGCGTTATCTTCCTCTTTGGTGAAAATTACTACTTCTTCTATAAATTCCTCAATAAGTAATTGATAATTTACGACTTGGTAGCTATAAATATTGTTCAAAACATCGAAAATGTTGAGAAGCGTCTTCAACACTTCCCTCGTATAATAAGAATAATGACATATCCATGACATATCCATAGAAAAATAGCTTGACATAACTCAACAATAGGTTATGAAATTCACGTAACTTTGACATTTTTCATTGTTACATCCGTCAGTTATCAATTTTTGACTATTACCTACACTAGAAATTCTCATGTTGCCGATATGTGCCCAACGCGTAACCAGAACACGATTCGCATGGCAACGAGGATACCAAAATCGACTGCCTTGCGTTTCGCTGATCGAATACTTGCGCTCACCGCTTTGAAAGCGTAACGTTTTTATGTCAAAGTTACAGAATACGGGCCCAGATTTTATGTTTGAGGGAGTTGCAGATCGATCCCAAGCTATCATGCATATTGCTGCCAGGTCATATATCGACAAAGTCTGTCCTGGATGAGAGAGCATCCAGTCATCTGCTCCTTGGTTAAAATATCTTTTAAATGGGCCGAAAATAGTCCGATCTAAAGGTTGCAATTTGTTAGATGTATGGGGTGGAAGAGTTAGGATCGTAATACCATTTTCTTTGCAGTAATCAATTGCAGGAACAGATAAATGGGATTCGTGATTGTCCATTATGAGGATGACTTGACGTTCTTTAGAATATCGAACATGAGCTACGAAGTGTTCTAAAACACGTAAAAAATTATCCGAGGTCATCCATCCAGATGAATGAACTAAGCCGGTTGCGCCATACTCGTCAGGAATACCACTTAACATTCGATGTTTGTCAAACTTTTTCCTTGGAAACACCCACACTGGAGGAAGTGCTATTCTATTCGGTCCAATGATGCCTACTTGCGTCACCAGCTGTCCTCTTTCACGTAAAGTGACCTTACCCACTTGATGCTGGCCTTTCGTCGCAACCACTTTTTGCGTTTTTTGAACTGTGGTCACACCCGTCTCGTCCAAATTAAATATGTCTGATCCAGTAAATTCATGCCTCTTCAGGACCAATTAAACCCGCAATTCAAAAAACACAAAACAGTTTGTTAAAAGGCACAGTGTAAACCTATCAAATATTAGAACGAACACGTGGAAAAATGTGAAAATGGTGATGCGTCGAAACGGAGCGACTAACCTGCTTCGCGTCTAGACAAGCACTAAGGATATTCAATTGCGCTTCCGGTTAAGTATTTGTTTTGAATTGCTTCCCAATTAGGCGGCAGTTTTGAATGTGTCCAATGCCTCCCCCTGTCCAAACCCTCCCGGCGCTCCCCTAGGGTTGATTCAATAATAATTTGTTGTTTTATTTTACAATTGTCAATAAATATTGGTAGTTATTAAAATTATTACAAAAATATATAATTCAAATAAAAATAGATAAGTTATAATAATTATTTATTAACACAAACGTTCAATATGTTACCGAAGCAGGTAAGTCAAACTGACGTATCTAAATTCTTTGACATCTAATCATTAACAAGTAGTAAATAAAAGCAACAATAGAGAACAACGGCATACGGCCTACAAACACGTAAACGTTTACGTACGCATGCGCATTTCCTATATTTTCTATTTTTTATACACGTAAAAGATTCTTTACGTCTACGTATACGTGCCAGGAACGGCCGACTCGACCGTATGCCGTTGTTCTCTAATACAAGAAAAAAAATATAATTATTATTAATAAATTGATTAGTTAATTTACCTGGAACCAACATGATCATGCTTGAGGTGACGTTGTAAGCCGTGTTTTGTTCTATATTTGTTGTTACAGTGCGCACAAGTAAACATCTGTCGTTCTTCCGGTGCCAAGTGAACTTTCTCGTGTCGGCTAAGTTTTGACATATATTGTGTTTGGTAGCTACATGTGGAACAAGTATGGACCTTTTTCTGGACTTCTTTCAACCTAATGAAATATTTTTTAATATTAAAATCTTGTAATTCTATAAAACAGGGTGCCTCAAATATATAAACACCACGTATCTACCCCTGTTACAATTTACAGACGACTGAAAAACCCCTTTTAAAAATTTAAGTAATTTTAAAGTATAGAATAAAATAAAAATAATATCCATATCCATCCATCCATCTATACATATATAAAAGCTCAAAGGTTTTTTTTGTTACATCCATCCCGCCGAAACCGCTTCACCAATCTTGATGATTCTTTTTTTAAATGAAAGGTATATATGTCTAAATTTGTTATGAAGTATTTTTATATATTAGAACTTTATTTAATTTTTAGTTAAAAACCATAATTTCTTGATAATACGGCAACATAGGTAGTAGATAAAATTTATCAGACAGAAAAAACCCAAAAGAACCAGGTTCTCAAAATTTAAGCAAAAAATATTTTTTTGGAAATTTTTAAAGTAAAATAACTGGGTTACTTTGGAATTATTTGAAAAAACGGTAAAAATAAAATACATATGTTTTTTTTTATCCAGATATACCAGCCCTGAAAATATTTGCACTTATTCATTGAAAAAATTCAATGAAAACGAATCGATTTTACCATAGAAAAGCATTTTGATTTTTTGACCTTATAAAAAATTCAAGCATGTTTTCGTATTTTTTATTTTTTTTTCTGAAACAGAAGGGAAATTTGAATGAGTATAAACGGAATTAACAATTTTAGAACAAACGAAAACTTTTGTGAAGAATTTTTTTCTTCTCAAAATGTTAAAAATAAGAAGTTTTTTTTCTCTTGCAAAAAGACAAAGGCTAATAAATAAATAGGAAAATATTTTTTTCTAAATTATACGTCAATTATATCGCGCGGTGCATCGGGATAGAAAATCCCATGTAAATTTTGAAAAAATCAAATATGATCTCCCAAGATGATTTTATGCAAATCCCATATCCCCATTTTTTTGAAGAGGCGTTAAAGTTGTGCTTTTGCCTAGAATTTTATTTTATTCGGAATGGACATTTAAATGTTATTTGCAAAAATCTAACTTCAAATTAGTAAAATTTATAATACGGCCCAGGGAAAGCTACAATTAAAATACCTGCAAAAATATTTTGTAATTGTCAAATTCGATGACACATTTTGTTTATAGAACCTCTACACCAAAGCTCTACACCTTGGACGATATGCTGGCGCACGTATTGGCCAAAGAACTGAAAATCTGTCAATACGATGGGATGACGTTCAGTTTGTCTCGACGCCGACGCTGGCCAAGATAAGAAATGGATATCTGAACGGTAGTGGCTGCGACAATTTATTTAATAGACAAGTTAAAGCACTGCCGAAGACGTAGATGTAAACGTATCGTTGGACATGTACGCTTGCGCAGTGAGAAATTAACTTGCGTTTAAGGATACGTGATACACTAGACAGTTGAAGCATGGCACCAGGTGGATGACACTTCTTATGGGAGAACTGGCAATGGTTGAAAACTTGACTACAAGCGATTTTCTAGGAATCTTCCTTACCGATAAATTATTGACAAGAGTGACAGATAAAACTTTGACATTCTTTCAGTATAACAGTTCATCTCTTTTTCTTTCTAAAGTGTGCGTTGAAAGGAGACAAAAACAATTTTTGGTGACCCATAATTTGTTATTCGAACACCACTTTTCTCCTTGTCGGGTCGTTGACGTTGACTTGTCGCCATTTTATTTCTTTTGTTTACACGCTGCAGTTTGCTTTGTAAATTTAATACATAAATGATTTAGGCAAATATAGGTTTTTGATAAAACTCCTTGGACTAACGTGTAGGTAAGTGTTGATAAATAAGTTCTTTTTCATCTTAACATGCTCATTGTCATTCTCCTGATTTAGGTGACAGAAAAGGATCATCAAATCAAATTGAATTTTATATTTTTTCATCCCAGGACCGATAATAAAATATACATTTTATGGATACCTTCCTAAATATCAACGAGATGAGCCATCGGAAGAAAGGCACCACAGTACAAAACAGAAAGGTGATCTTTTTTCTTTTCACTTAGGCTATTGAAATTATTATATACTATAGTCGTGTTCGGCATTATGCTCTGAGAAATATAGATAAACAAAGAACAACAGATATAAAGCATCCCAGAGGAAAAGAGAGGCAATACCTGTACTCTCTCTGATATTTGTGAAAGTTACGGCAAAGTATTGTTGTAAATCTCATCTTTTTAATCGACATGAAAACTTTGACACTTTCAACAATACCCTGACAGATATCAGAGACGATACAGGTTTTTCCTCTTTTCCCCTGGAATACTTTTAATTTATTATTCTTTGTTTATCTAGATTTCTCAGAGCACTATGAACAAACTCAGCTTGTATGTTTGAAATAATCGTCCAGTTGGCTTAAAAATGATGATCGATGATATTTTCTATATAATTTTACTTTCAAAATTATGATATACAGGGTTGTTCACCACATACGACACGGAGTATTGTAGCTAAACGATTATATTTTTACAAATTTCAAGTTTTGGGTTCGATGAAGGACTATTAGAGGTACAATTTAAAAATAATTTGACAAGATACAGAGTGTCCCAAATAAGTAAAAAATATCAAAGTTGTATTTTTTAAATGGAACACTCTGTATATTATTACATTTTTAGTTTCTACGATTAAGATAAAGGTAAATTTGATTAAGGTTTATTATACTTAAACCTTACCGTTTTTGAAATATTTTCAATTTTGGGAAATTGCAGTAAAAATTTTAAGGCTTCATTTCTCCAAGGGTATCAAAGTTTTTAATACTAAATATTTACTGAAATTTATTTATTGATCAGTTATTGTGTTGCAATAATAAAAATAATACTACCTTATACAGAGTGTCTAAAAATTTATTTTAAATAATTTCTAGCTTTAAACGTCAATAACTTCTTTAATTTAAATGGAACGCCCTGTATATTTCAGGAGAATCAGATGCACAATTTAATTGTCTATCAAATTGTATTATACCATTTTTTACCTATCCCTTCAAGTTTTCGTAGAAAATGCATTTTCTTATAATTTAGACCCTATTTATCAATATACCCATGGAATATTGACATTTTAGATTATTTTTAAAGCAACAAATGTACAAAATGTACAGGCTAGTAATATTATCGTTTTTAGCAAAACGATAATATTACTTAGCCCATTTGTATGCAAAAGAAAACTATTTAAATCTTTATAAGAGAGTATACCATTAATTAAATATAACACCATTATTTCCGCCCATATACTAATTAATTACATACTTAATTGTGTTCGTTAATAAATTATTCTAAGTAAATGTGGATTTGAGTCAGAAATCAATATAATAATAAGTTATCAAAATTAAAGTCTCTGTTGTTATAAATAAGTATTTATTAAAAAATGAAATATAATTTTTAAGGCGTTTCTTTTTATCACACTGTCTAATACCCACACAAAATTCAGTTTTTTAGTATTTGGAGCAATTATTATTAATCAACGCAAACAGTCAGTTAATGTAGTTTGAATACTGGAATCATATTAATTGGTCCCCTTTAACAAATATTTAAACAGTTTTTTTATTTTTTAATAAAATAAACAAATTATATCGACAATATTAGTATCTGTACTCTTTAAAAATTTGGTACATCTTTAAAAATAATCTAAAATGTCACTATTCCATGGGTATATTGATACATAAGGTACAAGAAAATGCATTTTCTACGGAAACTTAAAGAGATAGGTAAAAAATGGTATAATATAATTTGATAGACAATTAAATTGTGCATCTGATTCTCGTAAAATATACAAGGTGTTCCGTTTAAATTAAACAAGTTATTGCCGTTTGAAGCTAATAATTATTTAAAATAAATTTTTAGGCACTCTGTATAAGGTAGTATTATTTTTATTATTGCAACAAAATAACTGATCAATAACTAAACTTCAGTAAATATTTAGTATTAAAAACTTTGATACCCTTGGAGAAATGAAGCCTTAAAATTTTTACTGCAATTTCACAAAATTGAAAATATTTCAAAAACGGTAAGGTTTAAGTATAATAAACCTTAATCAAATTTACCTTTATTTTAATCGTAGAAACTAAAAATTAAATAATATACAGGGTGTTCCATTTAAATACAACTTTGATATTTTTTACTTATTTGGGACACTCTGTATCTTGTAAAATTATGTCGTGTGTGGTGAACAACCCTGTATATATCTTCATTTCTAAGCCATCTATGACGCCATTTTTTTCAGTTTTGTTATATTAATTTTGTCTCTTGATCTACTTTTAACATTATTCTTTTAATTTTATTAATTTATTGTGGTGAAATTAATTTTTGTTGTATATTTGATATTGATATTAAACATATTTTTAAAAAATGGTGTATTTTTTGTGTTTTTATCTATTTCATAATTAAAAATAAATGAAGAATTAAATTTTTTTATTTTTTGAGCCCCGCCATGTATGACAATCTAGTCCGTAGTTCCTACAAGCGATATTGGGGGCGCTAGTAGCAGTATACTTGTCAACAGTGTCAAATTTAAACGTCAATTTCACTTTCCAATATTTAGCAAGGCGCTCGCACTTCTCCTTGTGTATGTGTTTTGTGCATGTCACAATACTATGGAGTCTAAAAGGAGGAGACGAATCGAACGCAAAAATGTTGGGCCCAGATTTCATGATATAAATGAAGTTCGAAAATCGCCGTTAGGGGCGCATGTGATCAAAGAGATTGAAAAATACACAGCTTCTTATGGCAAGAATTACTATTTTGTTATAAATTATAGAGGTCAGTTAATATTTGGGCATATTTTTACCAGATTTAGCTTTTAGAAACTTCTTCTCTTTAAATATTGTTATATATTTAAAAAAATCCGAAAATTTAAAAACCGTTTTTTATTTTTTTATCCCCTGAATATGATTTTATGACACTTTGTATACTAAAAATATTTTTTTAATTAGACCCGTCTGAAATACATTATCTTAATAATTC